ATCCTTTCACCATACTTACTCAATCTGTATGCTGAGCAAATAATCTGAGAAGCTGGACTATATGAAGAAGAACATGGCATCAGGATTGGAGGAAGAATCATTAACAACGTGCGATTTGCTGATGACACAACTTTGCTTGCTGAAAGTGAGGATGACGTGAAGTACTTACTACAGTCTTCAGTATGGATTATAGCTCAGCATAAAGAAAACAAAAATCCTCACAACTAGTCCTATAAGCAGCATTACGATAAATGGAGAAAAGATTGAAATTGTCAAAGACTTCACATTACTTGGTTCTACAATTGACGCCAATGGAAGCCACAGTGAAGACATCAGACGATGTATAGCACTGGGCAAATCGGCTGCAAAGGACCTCTTTCAAGTGCTGAAGAGCAAAGATGTCTCCTTGAGGACTAAGGTGAACCTGACACAAGCCATGGTATTTTTGATAGCCTCATATGCATATGAGAGCTGGACAATGAATAAGGAAGACCAAAGAAGAATTGATGCTTTTGAGCTGTAGTGTTGGCGAAGAATGCTGAAAGTACCATGGACTGCTAAAAGAACAAGCAGGTCTGTCCTGGGGGAGGTGCAGCCAGATGCTCCTTGGAGGCTAGAATAGCCAGACTTCATCTCGCATACATTGGTCATGTTGTCAGAAGGGACCATTCCCTGGAGAAGGATGTCATGCTTGGTAGGGTGGAGGGTCGACGAAAGAGAGGAAGGCCCTCAACGAGATGGAATGGCACAGTGCCAGTGGTGATGGGCTCAAGTGTAGCAAGAATCATGGAGCTGGTTCAGGACCGGGTGGTGTTTCATTCTGCTGTGCATAGGTTTGCTATGAGTTGGAGGTTACTCGACAGCACCTAACAACAGCAACAATATACCTTAGGGAGACTTGTCTAATCACTATAATTGGGCTCTGTTTTCATCATTTGTCAGGTGTGTGTAGGTCTGTACTTATGTACAAACTATTGGCAGAAGTCTACCTGTCCTTGCAACTTAATAGGAATGCTGTTTGTTAAGAAACACGACTGACTTACACAGAACAGCTGTAACAACACACCCTGGGGAACTACATTCTTGTTTCCTAAATTGGTTAGATTGATATTTCATGCCTAGCTCTGAGCCACCAATG